ACTGCCGCTGCTGCTGCTGCTACTGCTGCTGCTGCTGCTGCTGCTGTTGCTGCTGCTGCTGCTGCTGCAGTCAGTGTAGAACGCCGTGACAGCAGAGAAGCGATAAACCCTAACCCTCTAAACCCTAAACCCTAAACCCTAAACCCTAATCCCCTAAACCCTAAACCCTACCCCCCTGAAGCCCTAAACCCTAAACCCTAAACCCTAACCCCGAGTGTTGTTTCTTTTGGGCTTGCCTTGATGGTGTTTTGTTTGTAGTTTTTGTTTTTATTTTTGTTGCTGCAATCGATGAGAGAGACAGACTGGAGGGCAGCAGCAGAAAAAGTAAAAAGCAGATTTCTCTCTGCTTCGTTGTGAACAGCAAAAGAGCTAGAAGGTAAATCATATTGCTGCCACTCTCCTCCATCTGCTGCTGCTGCTGCTGCTGCTGCTGCTGCTGTTGCTGCTGCTGTTGCTGCTGATGCGGGTGCGTCTTCTCCTGCTCCTCCTGCTGCAGCAGCAGCAGCTGCTACTGCTGCTGCTGCTTCTGCTGCAGCAAGAGACAGCAAATCAGCTATCTCCTTCTCCCCCTCAAACTCAGGCGGACACTCCCCACTCCCATCTGCATGCAAACACAGCAGCAGCAGCAGCAGCAGCAGCAACTGTAGCAGCAGCAGCAGCAACTGGAACTGCAGCAACAGTAGCAACTGCAACTGCAGCAGCAGCAACTGCAATTTCAGCAGCTGCAGCAAATGGAATAAATGATGCAAACGGAGGCAGCGACAGCAGACAACAAACACCGTCCTACCAAATGCGTGCATTCACTGCATGCATGCAATCAGCGCATGCAACAAATACATTCATGCATGCATGCATGCAACAAGTACATGCATGCATGCGCGCATGCATGCATGCATGCATGCATACAGTGACTGTATGCATGCATTGCATGCAATGCTAAGTGCATGCATGCAGTGCACGCAAGTAAAAAGTACATGCATGCATGCATGCATGCACGCATGCAGTGCACGCATGCAACAAGTACATGCATGCATGCATGCATGCAGTGACTGCATGCATTGCATGCAATGCTAACTGCATGCATGCAGTGCATGCATGCATTGATTTGCATCAAAGCACTGTTTTGCATGCCTGCATTGATTTGCATGTATGTATTGATTACTCTATTTTATTTATTTATTTATTTTATTTAATTTATTTTATTTATTTATTTATTTTATTTATATATTTATCTATTTATTTATTTATTTATGTTTACTTTGTTTGTATTTTGCTGTTCTTTTTCCGTTCGTTTTGCAGACGACCCAATGCCCAGGAAGCCCCTGATCTTGTCGCCCTGAAGCACAATATATTTATTTTATTTTTTTTATTTTGTTTATTTTATTTTATTTTATTTTATTTTATTTTATTTTATTTTATTTTATTTTATTTTATT